TTAATCGAAATCGAATCGCAATCATGATTTGAGACGTTGTGATTTTCTAATTGCGATGTGGACGCGATATTACTCTTCCAGAGCATATGCATGACTGCCAGCCTTGTGTGGCAGTCTTACTAACCAATAGAGTGAGCGCACCTCCATTCTCCCCAATCAGCACTGCTCTAGCCAACTGTGTAAACACCCACCATTAAAAAAAACAAACAGAAAGCGGGAGAGAGAGAGTGTGTGTGTGATTATGGCGTCTACAGGGTCAGATCGATAGTCAGGCAAATTAATACTAATGAAAAAATTATGTAATATGAGATTACTTCGGCTTCGAAATGACAGACACCAAACAAAAAAGGTCATGTTAATTTGCAACAGCTGTGTCACAACACATCAAAAGCTCCCTTATCGGTTCTGCTTTCAGTACTGGAGAGTAAAAGATACATTCCTAGATGTTTTTATTAGTACATATACATTTTATCTCCCCAACAGTTTCTAATTTGAAATAAGTTTATAATGCATGTTCGCTATTCCCAATTCAGAAGAGCGCACACACAGCCTGTGTCTCTGAATGCTTCTCATTCTCACTCCTCTCTGCCGCGTCTCACGGAGGATCTGTTTACACTTGCCGTACATACGTAGCCTGTTTCGTAATGCTCGTTTATACTCTGTATACTCCACACACCGCAAGTCTCTATGAGCACATCTCGCAATATGGACAAGGCTTGACGCACGGCTGCAACCTGTGTCAACTCACACCTGTCTCCGTATCTAACACAAATGTAAATTCAGTTGAACTGCTTTGCTAATTTCACTTGGAAGAAATTAAACATTCAGCACATTTTCTACTTGTTCTTAAAATCCCAAATACTTAAAAACAAATAAATCATCCTATTCTTGTGAAATTGAGTAATTGAGTAAATTTTTTAAAAGGAATATTTCTTGTTGAAAAAAACAATAGAACCCCTCCCAAAACACAATAGAAAATGTTATGGATTTAAGGGTTATAATGGGAATTATATTGGTTTTAATGTAAACTATAATGGTGTCTACTGGTATTTAATGGATTCTATTGGTGGAATGTAAACTGGCAGATGGGAAACAATAGAACAGTAATTCCTATTGGAATAATGCCCAAAACACACTACAAAAAGATATTTTTGTTTTAATGGAAACCATAAGAATTTCTGTGATGGTTTCTATTGTTTTTTTCAACAGGGTAACGAAACCCATACTGTTCTGCACACTATTGACAATATTAAGAATATTGCAAATCAAATCGCAATATCTGTCAAAAAAAATCGCAATTAGATATTTTCCCCAAATCGCACAGCCCTAATATGTAATGTGATATACATGTCATGTATGTTGTCTTTCATTTACTAACTGCCTGTTTTCTTAAAAAAAAAAAAAACTAACACTAGCTTCTCTAATCTTTTTGTATTCTATCTATCTATTTGTTTGGTTTTTATTATACAATTAACAAAAGTAAAAAAGGCCTCTAAAACTAGCTTGCTCTATTCTATCTGTTTTCTTTTTATTTATTATGTAATAAAAAAAAAACTTGCTACGTGTACTGTGTTCAGCTAACTGAGACTTGTTAAAACACTTGCATATCATTGCTCTTTTGTTGATTTTGATTGCTTCCATTGTCCTCATTTGTAAGTCGCTTATAAGTCAGCTAAATGACTAAATGTAAATGTGTATTTAACTAGATTTATAAATATTTATCTGTATTTTTTATTTTGTAATAATGGTAATGTATTTGTTTTATATCTATAAACATGCATTTGTATTTCTGATTTCTCTCTCTATGTATATATATATTTTTTAAATATCTGTATTTGTCTAATTTTGATATTTTAATAAAGCAGTTTAGACTGAGTGTTTTCTTTATTCTGGATGAATTACATATGCTTTTGTATCTAGAAAGGGTAAATGTGGGCCATATCAAACCCAGAAGTCAGCCACAACTGGACCGGATCTGGGCCACATCTCAGAAATGGCATGGATGACATCTGGGCCAGGTGCTGCCCATGCCATTTGTGAGATGCGGCCCAGATCCGGTCCAGTTGTGGCTGACTTCTGTCAGCCAGACTGGGCCAGAAATTGCCCGTGCCATTTGTGAGATGTGGCCCAGATCCGGTTCAGTTGTGGCTGACTTCTGTCAGCCACACTCAGGTTGAGTCATCGCCATCATTCCACGCGGTATGTGGGTCAGAAGAATGTGGGAGATGTGGGCCAGAACTGGGCCAGATGTCATTTCCTATCTGGTCATTGCCGTCATTCCACGTGGTATGTGGGCCAGAAGAATGTGGGAGATGTCGGCCAGAACTGGGCCAGATGTCATTTGCTATCTGGGTATATCTGGCCATCATATAGTGTCAGTCTTCTCGCATCACTCTTGTCACGTGACCCCCCCACCCCTCTCCTCCCCCGTTTTATTTCTCAGCCCCCCCAGCTCAAAATACGTTCCTGCGGCCATGGAGCTAACCGATCTTTAGATTTAATCACCAGCGAGATTTATGGTAATGCTTTTTTCCTCAGTTGGTCAGAAAAAATGTGGTAGACTTGTTACTTACTTGTTCAGATGGCAATATACGGTGAAAATTTTTATTTGGGTCATATTCCAAGACGTAGGCTAGAATCTGTGATTGCGAAGTACAGTAAATATCCACACTAGTGCATGACTGACTGCCGCACATACTCTTCAGAACATTAGATTCATCTGTGCTGGAGCCGTGCCGACTCACAACCCAATCAAGCTAGATAATTCCGCACACAGCTGCAATTCCAGGTTTTCAAACAGAGATGGCGACAAAGAGGCAAAATTTACGGACTGCAGCTTTAACTGAAATATTAGTCTGGAATGTTTGAAGCCATAACTATCTGGCAGAGTAACTCGGTAAATACTACAGATTAACAAAAGACTACATGCAGATAACTGATCTGAAATCGTTATTTAATGACAGATTATAGCATTATACACTTTAGATTACAGAACAAAGCAATGTTTGCGGTGTTCCTGCATGGCTTTGACCAACAGATGTCGCAAGCGTTCCGTCACTCTTGCGTTGCACATGCGTAGATTAAGTCTTTTTTTTTTTTGTGTGGATTGTCATTATTTCGAGAACTGTTCTCATTATTACGAGAAACTAAGTCATTATTACGAGAAAGTTTCTCATTATTACGAGAAAGTTTCTCATTATTATGTGAAACTAAGTCATTATTACGAGAAAGTTTCTAAATATAACTAGATACTAAGTCATAATTATGAGAAAGTTTCTCATTATTATGACTTACAGAATCATATTTTTTTCTCAACTGTGCCGGAAACGGGCTTCCATAGAAAGATGTAAGTACAGTAGTACTGTATTAGAAAACTGTTTTACGATAGAAATGTTCAGCGACCAACAGTAATAGATTAAATAGTGATGCAAACTCAACTTTTTATGAAATTTCACCATTTTGAATTGAAAATATGCGATCATGATTCATGTAGCCTAAATCATAAATTAACGTGACAAGAGACGTTTGCGTTTTTCGACTATTGACACGAATAAAAGTGAATGTGCACATTTTAAAATAAAATATCATTTTCAAATAGTGTAAATTGATTACTGCTTCATATGAAGAGTTCAGATGCAAAAGCCTCTAAGTGCCATTTGAAATTTTCTTCTTAAATGAGCATTTTTATCAGACTTCTATGTGTAGGTTCAGTAATTTCACTTTAATGGCAATGAATAGTTTATTTTCTTTCCCATTAAAGTAAAATAACTGAACATAAACATAGGAGCCTGAGAAAATAACCATTTTAGAAGAACATTTTAGATGGCACTTAGAGAGGCATTTGCATCTGAACCTAGAACTTATTTTAGCATTCTTATTTACTTATTTAATTGCTTTATTATTATTATTATTATGCAGTAGATCTTACAATTCTTATGAGCATGTGCGTGACCGTGATTCGTGCGCGCTGTCCGTGTACGCATCCGGATTGCTCATGCGGAAAGTATAACACAGGCTTAATAAAGCACACTGAGCCCGTGCTGCTTCTGCACCGCATAGGCTAAGAACCGCACATGGACTGCACTGCAAACGGACCCTCCCTTAATTTCGTGCACTCTTTGCTGATATAATACAGCACTCAACTGCCATGCATGCACTATACTATAGGGATTTAAGAATCAGTGAAGACATCAGCGATTTCGGAGTCGACACCGAGAGTCGATTCCAGTGCTGGAGTCGACTCCGACTCTAGGGGTATTCAGAGTCGAGGAATCGACTCTTTTGGAGTCGACTCCCCATCCCTAGATATAAAAGTTGAAATGAAAATGATTAAGTTAGTAAGTTAGACAACTTTTCAATTCAAATGGTAATTCATTAACTTGAATTGATAGTTAATTTATAGTTCTTACATATTCTTAACATACTGATATCGCGCACAATAATAATGTACTATTCATATAATAATATAATAAGGCTAATATAGTCACATCCGCACTTTCATTCTTAATTCAAAATAAAACATGTTAATTCATCAATAACATTCATTTCTGATAATCCCAGATTGTTATGGTCATGCAGGTTTTACGCATTAAACTCGTGGCCACGACTAAAAGATGTAGTTACCCCGATAAAATGACTTCTGGCCATAACATCATATCATGGTCCCATAATGATGTTATCACGACCTACTATATATCATGGGCGGCCAAGACAAAACTAAGTGAATCAAACTGCAGTCACCGTAATTTGGAGGTGAGACTTCACAAACACATTCTGGGGACACCTAAGACTTACATCACATCATGTAAAAATGGGCATAAAAGGACCTCTGTAAAGGAAAGTCTTGATATTAAAACAATAAAGAAAAAGTCTTGATATTATGACTGACCACTGGATGGCACTCTTCAAGCGCGCAGGGAATCTGATCAATTGGACTGCGTCCTCTCAGATGTTCAGCACACACGCGCACAGCTGTGACGTTTGTCTGTGTTTAGCAAAACTGCTCTTGGCGAGGTCGCTGCTTCCGCTGACAGGATTTCAAAATCGTGATCTGCGATATACTGTTTTTTCCTCATTAAAATATACAGCGACCGTATGAGGAATTATATTGCAATGGGTCTTCCGTTTTGAAGGTTTTTTTTTAATGTAAAATGAAATTTTAGTGCGAATGAAGCCTATAGGAGGATGTTGCTTCAGGCACGTTACAGACGAATTTTCTTCTGCCAACAGATTTAACGCGTGTATCGTGTTCTTTTGATGTACAACTCGGGTTAGTGTAATGATCTCGATGTACGGATCAAGTGGTAAAATAGCTGTGTCGCTGATATTCACGTTTGTCAGCGTGTTTGTATTGTGTGAATATGTGATTTATTATCCTGTTATTCTGCGATGCTCATGGCCTCGTATTGAGACTGTAGATTCACATGTACCTTTACGGGCGTTATTTCTCTCCGATACTCACTTACTTGGGGCCATCAAAGGACACTGGCTCGACAAATTCAGAAGGTATGGATCTGGTGTCTCAAAATCGTACACTAGCAAAAAGTCGTCCCATGGTAGCACGATGTTTTTGATATATTCTCTGTACCATGGTACTGCTGTAGTAGTTTTGTTTAGGGCAGAACTGTAATTACCTAGACATTAAACAGTACATGCCAACTAATCATAAGATATGTTCCAGACACATTCACCGGCAGTTTTATTTTTTCTTTATTTTACTTGAAAGATTACAAAGCCATTTCTAAAGTAACTTTAAATACTATCATCTCTGCATTTGAGTAAGAATATTATAACACTGTTTTTTCACAGAGAATGGCAGATGGAAAGGGCATTCCAGACATCTCTGTGGCTTCTAAATCCAGAAATTGTCTTCATTTTAGGAGATGTATTTGATGAGGGCAAGTGGAGCTCCAGTGAGGTACAGTAAATGGTACAGCTTACAACCAAGAAACACAAAGCAGCAGACAGTTTGTCTCAGTTTTCATAATATGAAGTTGTGCTGTGTCTTAAGATAATAGCACACATACTGTATTAAGCCTATGTGTTTGTTAGTTTGATGTTTCTCATTATGAAACATTCTTACAGATTTCTATACAGATTTTTATATTTTGTAAAGTTATACTGTCAAGTCAGTTTTAGATGTACAGTGCTTTTCACAATATGCATTGATTTAAAGCTGCTTCACAGAAATGCAAGATGTTGACATCAGTTCACATATGATTTTGCTACCGCACATCATTACACGACATAATGTTTGAGCTCCATGACTGTTTGCCTGAGACAGAAACATAAATGAGAGTCATGCCATAATACTTATACATAATACAAAGTTAGGGATGTAACGATTCACTCAACTCAAGTTGCAATATGATTCCGAAACTTGTTTCATGATATGATTTTTTTATTTATTTTTAACAAAATGAGATTTAAGGCAAATTAAAAATTAAAAGGTGTTCTTTTATTATTTCCCAGACAAAATGTTGCACATTTCTTTGTGAAATTGAAATATATTTTATGTCAAATAACAAAAATAAAGTGAAATTTCTAAACAAATCCTAAATCAAATAAATAAATGGATAATACAAATAAAAGAAACCTCTTCATATAAATAAACTAAGGCTTTTCCTGTGCGCTTTACTAGCTTGACTTTTTAAAAGAAATATCATGTCCACATTTTTCCAGCAGAAAATGTACCTTGTACAGGAAATGCATTTGAAGCAAAAATAGAATGGTCTAGCTGTAGCTTTGTGAAGTTAGGCTACATAAAACTACATAAAAGCAGATGAGATGTTTGAGAACGCAATTGGCCATATATGCATGGTTACTTCCTGCATATAAATAAAGTGTTACTTCAGCACACATAAAGCCAGCTCAGTCATTTCCGGTCAACTGTCAAAATGAATTGTGCTATAAGGGGTGCGTCCTTTGCTCGGTTTTTCTGCATAATCAATTCACAATTTGAAGAAAAGTTTTGTTTGTCTAAGAGGACCAAATGTCCACGTATACAGTTTCAGGAATGACAAACAAACGCAAGTGTAGAAAATTATGTGAGTCACTGCTATGATTGGGAGTGATAAAGCAATGGAGGAACAAAACATCTGACGAGCCGATGTCAAATATAGAGCTGTGTATTAAATGATTCAGACTAAATTCAGAGTAACAAAACTACAGCAAGCAACAAGTCTGTTGGCTGAATATATTTAACAGCTTCTACAGATAAAGATAAAACTTATAAATGTAGTTTTTAAATTAAATCTTAAAATATTTCAAAATATTCAATGCATTATTTAATTGTTATACCATTAATAATTAGCATATTTAATTTGTAGTTAACTAGTTAAGTATTTAAATATTTTAACCTTTTAGGCTGTTGGTGTCTGGGCTTATTTATGTATTTTTTTAAAATGACATGAGACTTTTTGACTTCCTGCACTTGCTATACTTTATACTTCAGTACAGTAAAAGTACTAAAATTTGTTATAAATACAATTTTTAATTTCATAATAAATACAAAAGCAAGACGTGAAAAAACTAGGGAGTGGAAATGGCAACTCCTAATGAGTGATCCTCTGCTGCCATCTAATGGTTATAATGGTAATTTCATTTTTGGCACATTTTCTCATGTCATCTTTATGAATGCAACCCTCTACGGCAGTAATCCAACCTTTTTAGGCCCAAGATCCCTGACCTCGGCCATTATGAAAGACAAGATCTATCTATTGAAGAATTGATATGACATCCAGACTGGACTTCAAATTTGAGGCCTTTTACTTAGTATTTTAATTAGTGATGCGCCGGTCATAGCTGATTCAGAATTCAGATTTTTTTTTCTTTTTTTTTTTTTTTTTAACTAGCAAATTGGATTCTGATACTGATTTTTAAGCAAATTAATTTATTGTCTATTTGCTTTATAACAAACAAACTGGCTTTAAACAAAAATATCTAGCCATTTGAAATTAGAGGCAACCACTGCATTTTAATCACGATCTGCACGGGCAGTTGTTTTTGATTTGATTTAGATTAATTTCAGGATTTAAAACAAAAACAGAATGGTCTGACTTTAGGTGTTATTTATTTACTTGCTACATAAAACATCTGCGAGAAACAACAGCAGGTCTGAATGCGCAATAAAACTAGTCCAATCGTGTTTTGAAGGTTCCCCTGTAAAAATCGTATTCGGGGTAAAATATGCGTTTTTCGGCGGGGATCTTCCAGTAAAATTCACATTCCGGGGGATAAATATCACATTATTGGGGTCGCTTCAACCCGCTGACATGAACAACAACCCGCGGCAACAGTGTTAAAGTAGCCCAATTCTGCGGGAAAACCGTGGACTTGGCAACACTGCTTATGAACCGACCGCAATATAGCATTTCCTTGTTTACCGCTGTAAACAAAGCAGAGCTGCTTTATACGGAGGCAAAGAAAATGCCATTACCATCGAAACTTTTCTCAAGACAGTACCCTTCAGTGATACATTAATATAACCCCAGAAATGTAATGCATTTTTGTACTTATTTTACTGTTATTTTCGGGATCTACTGGGACAGTGATAAAGACCTACCAGTCGATCGCGATCGACGGGTTGGCGACCGCTGCTCTACGGACACCTTGGCAATTTAATCGCCATTGGCTAGTACATTTTTTTTAGTTTACTCGCCTGATACACACACACACACATATATATATATATATATTTA